TTCCTATATAAAAAGAAGGCAGCAATGTGCATTTTTTGTCGTTGTTATTAATATGGTTACGGGAAGCAATTAGCGCCGGAGCGGCAGCCGAGCCGCCACCCTCCGCCCGGCCGGGCGCGGGGGCCCGATCGCCGCCGCCTCCCCTCCCATCGCCCCGCGGGCGGGCGGCGGCACCGGGGGATGCACGGAGGGAGGAGGATTCAGCCGCTCACCCCCGCTCCCGGGCACGGAGCAGGAGGAGCGGTCCCCCTGCACCGGCAGAGACCGCGCTGGAGAGCCTGGAGCACCGAACCCGGGGCCGGCTCCCCGGTGCCAGTGCTCCGATTAGCCTGGGTTGGGAGCGAGGGATAGAGCGGCTGAGCGAACTAATTCTGTAAAGGGGGGAAGGCACGGCAAAGGGCAGCTCAGATTAGATCACCGCTTTAACATAATTTAATGGCAAGGGCTTTGTACTTCATAATTATTGCTCCGAGCGACTCTTCCTACCTGTTGGTAGGTGAATTAGCACGTTGGACTGAGCGCCTCTAATGACAGCCCAAGCCTAACTCAAACATCACAGAGGGCACCCCGACTATCCTAGCCCTCTTTTTAAGTCACGCAGGGAAGTTGGTTATCATTTCCTCCCCGCGCCGCAGCTCTCCTGCTCGGCTGTCAGTTGTCAGGTGAATGTCAGCAGGCAGTGCCCAGCCACTGCTCCATCCATCCATCCATCCATCCATCCATCCATCCATCCATCCACCCCGAGCCAGCCCACGACCCGATCCGTTTCACCATGTGGCTGTGGTAGCAACAACGTGACCGAGAGGCTCAGATGGACAGAAGGGCTGTTTTAGTTGCTGACTTCGAAACGCCTTTTCTGAAGTCAGAATAGCGATTTAAGGGGAGAAAAAAAATTCGTAAATAAGCAAGTAGCTTAATTGGCGTTTGGTTTTTGCAATTTCCATATATGCGCTTGTGCGTGGGCGTGTGCGTGGGGTGTGCGTGTGCTCGTGTGTGGGATGCCGGCGAGGAGGGAGGGAAGGGATGAGAGGGCTCCCGAGCCGTCGATTATCGCACCGCTCAGTACAGCGCGCCCTCGGTCGGATCCCCAGTTAGCATCCCCGGGGGAAACACCCATTGCTCGCGGAGATGAAGGGGAAGAACTGAGGCATATTCCCTGGGGCTAAATCCTGCCCCTCTACTCAGGCGGGGGAATACCCTCGGAGCCAGCGAGCTGACTGGCGGAGTAAAGCCGGCAAAAGCCGCTCCAGCACTGAAGTGCCGGGTTGGGACTAGGCAGGGCATGTGCGAGTTGCCAAGCCCGCAGCAATTCCCCATCCAGCTCTGTGCATGGGATGGCCAGCCTCTGCTGTCAGCTCTCCGGCTGAGAGGTTCACATTAAACACCAGCGCAAGCAGGAGCAAGTGCTCCCAGAATCTCGTTTCTAAGGACATTAAAAGTTATTTTTAATGGCTCCAGAAGTTTCTTCACTTCCATTCTTCCACCACTTCTTTTTTTTTTTTTTTTCCTTTTGCTAGGCAGGCACCATATGCAAATGCAATTTGTAGTAAACAGAATGTGAAAGCAATCTTGCCATGTATTTTGGATTTTTTATGATATATGGTGGACTGCTCAGAAATGCATGCTATTGTTAAAGCTGTTTGTGCCCAGTGTACTAATGCACTGTTTGATTGAGTGAATTAGCAGTCATAACAATCTGGCAGTCTGGCCATAGAAGTGTGCTCAAATTGATTTGTGTTATGGCTGGACTGGAAAATCTAGTGTTAGTTGTTTTTTTGCCCTGGGGCATTGTTTGTACCAAACTCCACTTTTCATTTAATTTTCCAATAGATTTTTGAAAGACCAAAAGGTTTGTGATCAACGTTTGCTGCACTTTATTATTATTCAGCTATTAAAAATATCCTATGAGTAATTTCAGGTTCCCCAAAACCTTGCTTTCAATTAGAGTAAACATAATTAGCGTGACGTCGTGCTTGGAATGGCAAATCTCCCTTTGTATCTATTAAGCATGTTATCTACTTGTCCTGTCACTGAAAGGAATCCAGTTTGTATTTGTATTGGACAAGGTTTTGTGCTACTTTGACTATAACACAACAATTAGAAAAACAGCGCTGCAGTATCCAGTTTCTTACTACTGATACAACACTTCACATCAATCTCAATTGTATTCATGGTGTTTGTCAATGTTTAGTAAATGTCTTGGTGGAAGAGAAGCAAAAAAGGATCCCTTTTCACACACTTAGATTTCTATGAGTCTATTTTCCTAAGCGATGCAGGGGGGATTCTGTATGAGGTCCCTCCCTCTTTCTCAGTCTTCCCTCTAAATAGCAGATAGCTCTTCAAAGGGGGATTGCTGCTCGAGACCTGAGATTAAAGCAAAGCAGAACTTACCTTCTCTTCGCCAGCACTTGCTCATTTCTTAGAATCTCTGCTCGGCAGCTGTTTGCAAGAATTATAATGCAGCATGATTAAACCTAAAACATTACTCTATTGATCACTCTATTGAAAGCTTTGTCAAATCATCCAGTTTCTCCTCTTCAGAGGCAATGAACAAAATAGGTCACTAAACAAGGGTAAGACAAGACACAAGACAGAAAGGTATTTATCAGGAAAATAAACTCCAAAGAAATGCAGGGGAAAAAAAATTGTAGATTAACTTAACATGATAATACTCATCCTTACCAGGTGCCTATCTTCTGTTGCATCCCCTCTCCCGGTCCATTCCTTCACACACGTTCAGAAGACAAACACTTTTCTGGGTTGTTTTACTGAATAAATTTAAATATTTAATTATCAATAATAACTGAAGATGGGGGAGGGAGCTGGTGTACTATCCTAGCTCCTGTCAGTCAAGTGTTCGAATTCCTTAAAATGCAACAGCTACAATGCATTTTGTAATTGCATTTTACCCTTTACAGCTGCCCTCAAAATTGTAATTTAATAAAATAGCGAACTCCATATCAGTCTTTTTTTAAAGCAATAAATTACAATCACTGTCAATACATCCTACTGTTTTAACACACATTTTAATATACCAAAATGGTAAAAAGAAAAAAGAAAAGAGAGAGAGAGAGAGAGAGAGAGAATACCTGCCCTGAACAGCTACATGAGCAGAACAGAAACCCTGCTTCAAACAATATTCCAGGAAAGAAATTAAAGACTTCTTAATTAGTGCAGCAATTAAGCCTTCTTGGTCGCATTTTAATCAGCCCAGGCCCTATGAAAGGACAAACAGAACGATTTGCAGGTCTTTGAATTTTAAACAGTCTTATTGATTTCAGCACCATAAGCCTTCACTTGACACAGGGAGAATTTTCAAATATCAGTTACAGTAATTTGAGTTTTGCTGATATCAACTCAGAGAGAGAAAAAAGAAAACACCCAACAATATCATTACATGAAAGCGTCAGCAAGTAAGAGAAATGCAATCTAGAGAAGTTTACAGAGAATGACCTCAGGATTTATTGGTTTATGTGAGTGTGTCAGTATAGGTGCGAGTTAAATTAAATTGAGACACTCCCCACAATAATTAGAAACACTTACCGTGCCAGAAGCTTTGAGGAATCTCGAACCTTTTCAAAAATCTCTTTCTACGTTTCTAATCCCAGTGTTGATTGATATCATCAAGGTTAACCCAAACCCCTGGTAGTAAACCTTTTTAAACTACATTTTCCTTTGGACCCTGAGAATTATGTATCTGTGGGAAGACATAGCAAACAGAAAAACAGAAGAGCTGGTGTAGGAATCATGTTGTAGGAAAAGTAGAGAACAAATGAAGTGGCAGCTTTCCTAATTTAGAGTTCACCAAGATCTCCAAGTGGCAATATCACACGTGTCTGGCTCTGTCCTGATCTTCTTATGGAGCTGTTCTGTCTTCACAAGGTGTGAGAGAAGGTGACATGCAAAAAGAACAGGTGAGGGAAAGAAAACATGAACAGAGTTGGCTTTCTACAAGTGAAAGAAAGGAAGAGGCAGTGTATTTAGGTTTTGAAATTACAAGTTTTATGCAACACTAGATCCCACCACTGGAACTCAACTTGTATAAGCTCCTCCAGATAAACATTCTCAAAAAACCCCACCTAAAATTAGCTTAAATAAGTGTTCTGCACAATTATGGGTACACAAAACTTTAAAGTAAAATATTACTCTGTGTTTTCATGGTTTTATTTGCAATTTTAAAGATTTTAGTGCAGGATAGCTTAAATTTCACTAGCAAAAGTTGTCTTAAGTGGCACTAGAACAAATTCCCGTAAATTAAACTTAAAGTACAATAAGCAAGCAGATCATATGAGAATAGTTTATGTCTGATACTGTGGAAATTCCCCTGCACCAAATTAATACAGTTGAGATTATCCACTCTACAGATGTGTCATCCCGTGAGTCATGTCTCATGTAATAGTATCACAGGAAAAAAAAAAAAAGGCTATGGGCAATTAAGTGCACACAGGGTGGATTTTGAAACAGGAAGAACTACGCACGCACCGACCCCTGATTTTGCAGACCCCCCCATCTGTACCAGTGGGCATTTCTTTACCCCTTTCAAAGTGCGAAGTGCCCTCAAGACACGCAGAACGCAGCCCCGGGCTTTCCCGGCGGAGCCCGGCGCGCCAGCGGCCAGACGCGCTCCAGCCGCATCCCGGCTCGGGGCCGGCAGGTACCGCGCCCGCCGCCGCCCCACTGCGCATGCGCGGGCAAGCGCGCCGGCTGACTTTGCGCGCTCTCGGGCGCGGAGGGGCCGGGCCGGGGCTGCGCGGCCGCTGCGCGCCGCCGGCACCTGTTGCGCGGCGGGACCTGCGCGGGCCGCCCGCCTGCCCCTCTCCCAAGTTACTTCTGTGCCGCCGCAGCCCGCTCGGCGCGGCGTCTCGGCGGCCTGAGTCCTAGTGCCTCGTCCCCTGCGATCCACGGCCGCCGCAGGGAAGGCTTCCGCGGATGCTGCCGCGTGCGGCTGCCCGTGCGCGCCCCGCGCAGCCGCCGCCGCCTGCCGCGCAACAAAGGGGACCCTCGGCAGTAACTCCAGCCCCGCCGGGAGGAGCGTCTGTGGTCCCGGGAGAGCCACAGCAGCAGCAAGAGCAACAGCCCCGTCCGGAGGTTTCTGCTTTTGTCTGCCCCGGCAAGGTGTGCGGTGACCAGCGCCCGCCCCGCGCCCCGGCTCCCCCGCTCCCGCCCGGCTTTGGGGGATCGCTGGAGACGCTCGTGTTTCTCCACAAACTGTGTTGATAAGCGACTGTTGAAAAGGGCTGGGAAAATTACATCTCATCTCTGGTGGGGTGAAATATGAAACATGTAATCTAACGGTTCCTGAAGGAGGGGGGAGAGGGACTTCTCTCCCTCTCTCGCTGTTTTCCTGCTCCGGGTTCCTGGTTGGATAATTTGGGTTAATACTAGTGAGTGAGCCTTTTGCTGCTTCAAAGGGTATTTCAAGTTGCCGGAGCTCCTCCCCTCCGCACCGTGTGACAACAACAACTCGTCCAGCGAGCGAGCGGCGGCGGCGGCGGCAGCAGCCAGCACTTCCCCGCTCATTTTCTCTCTGTCATTCCCCTCTCAATCTTTGATCAATGTACTTGCCAGAGAGAACCGAAGTCCTTCAAACCTCCTCCTTTTCACCTTCGTCTTTAACGTGGTGCTAGAGCAAGGACCACAAAAAGAAACTGCCCTCCCCCTCCCCTCGGCCCCAGCCCCGCCGCCCGGAGCGGACTTCTCCTCCTCCTCCTCCTCCTCCGTCCCCACTTGCGGGACACTTTGTGCGTTCTCTCTCTCACTCTGCCCCCTGCTCTCTCGCTCGCCGCAGCACCTGATCTGGGGTTATCCCCCCCTTCTTCTCCCCCCTCCTCCCTTCTCTCCTTTCCTTTTTTTTTTTTTTTAATAATTTTTTTTTTAATTTTACCCCTTTCCCCTGCGTGTGTGTGTGGGAACTTTCCCCCCTCCCCCTGCCCCCTCCGCCGTATATGTGACCATGGCCGTACCGGCTGCTTTGATCCCTCCGACCCAGCTGGTCCCCCCTCAGCCTCCGGTCTCAACTTCTGCCGCCTGCACCACCACCACCACCACCTCGTCGTCGGCCACCTCGTCGTCGGCCACCTCCTCTCCGTCTCCGTCCATCGCTCCCCCGCCGGCCGCTTCGGGGACAAACCTATTCCGGCCGGAGCCCATCGCAGCGGCGGCGGCGGCAGCGGCGGCCACAGTCACCTCCACCACCAGCGGCGGCGGCGGTAACGGCAGCGGCGGCAGCAGCGGCGGCGGCAGCCCCAGCCTGGGCACCGGCGGCGGCGGCAGCAGCAGCAGCGGCGGCGGCAGCGGCGGCACCTCCACTCCCAATGCCAGCGCGGCCAGCGCGGCCGGCAGCCTGCCCGGCAAGCCCGTGTACTCGACCCCGTCCCCGGTGGAGAACACCCCCCAGAATAACGAGTGCAAGATGGTGGATCTGAGGGGGGCCAAAGTGGCCTCCTTCACCGTGGAAGGCTGCGAACTCATCTGCCTGCCCCAGGCTTTCGACCTCTTCCTGAAGCACTTGGTGGGGGGCTTGCACACGGTCTACACCAAGCTGAAGCGGCTCGAGATCACGCCCGTGGTCTGCAACGTGGAGCAGGTCCGCATCCTGAGGGGGCTGGGGGCCATCCAGCCCGGGGTCAACCGCTGCAAACTCATCTCCAGGAAGGATTTCGAGACCCTGTACAATGACTGCACCAACGCCAGGTAAGCGCCGCAAGGCACACGCGCGCCCCGCCGGCCCCCCCGCCGCCGCCGCCGCCCCCGTCCCACCCCCGCGCGGTGCGGTCCGGCGAGCGCTGCGCCGCTTCCCGCTGCCCCCTCCCGCGCTGCCCCGGCACCCAGCCGGCCTTCTCCGCAGCCAGCGGCGCTGCTTCTTGGTGGGACGGAGGGACAGAGGGGGGAAGGGGAAGCCGTGTTCGTGCCCCCCTCCCGCTGCGCCTTGCAAGTGTCGCCCTGTCATTGTCCCCTTCCCTGCCCCCCGGGCCGAGGCGTGCCGGGGGTAGGGGTGGCCGCGGGCAGCGCAGCGCGGGAGCGGAGGGCCGGCGGGGGTGGGAATGAGCCAGAAAGTGCTTCCTGACCGAACCTCCAGCTGAAGTTTATCCTTGGATGTATCTTTAAAGCGGGCAACCCTGGGAAAAAGCCGCCCGAAGGGCGCACGGGAGTGGGCGGGGAGCGGTCCTGATGGGGGGACGGCGACATAGACCCTGGGGTGTCGCGTTAGCTGGGATGGGGCGCGGAGCTGCCCGGGCGCCGGGCCCGTTCGGGGCGATGGAGGCCGCTTGGCCATCAGCTGCTGTCACACATCCGAGGGGACACGTGCACTTTTTGTGTAGGGCTGTAAGGCAGTTGCCACATGGCGAGGAGGAGGAGGAGGAGGAGGAGGAGGAGGAGGTGGAGGCAGCTTTTCTTTGGGGTAGTGGGGAGAGGTGCCAGGCGGCCGGGCTGGGCTGCTTCCTCGGGGGGGTGGGGGTGTCGGTCCCCGAGGAGCAGGTGCGAGCAGCTCCAGGCCCTCAGCAGCCGAGGAGGAGACGGGGGCAGCGGGAGCGCGGCAGGGATTTGGCAAGGCTGGATCCTGCTGCCGCGCAGAGTAACGCGGCCGCGGTGGCGGGGACGGCGCCGAGGGCGGGGAGCAGCGCTGCGGCTGCGGACGGTGCGGGGCTGTCCCGCATCCCGAGGGCCGAAGAGAGCGCGGAGGGGAGGCGAGCCCCAAACTTGCCACAGCCGGGAAGGAGTGTCGGGGGGATAGAAGGAGCTGGCAAAAGAGGAAATTCCTGATGCAATAGCAGCCGCCTTTGCAATGGAGGGCGAAAGCGTGGGGTTGTTATCTCTCAATCTGTAGGTTACAGGGCTGAATCTGCTCGATAAGGAGAAGGGATCGCGTAACTGCCGTGACCCCGAGATCAGAGCGGTCGGAAGCTCCTTCAGTTCCCGGGGACTCTCCCGCTGCCTCAGGCAGGGGCGGGGGGCTCGGGCTGTGCCGCGCTGGAGGGGCGGCGGGAACTTCCCACGGAGGAGGTCGTGGACAAAGTCCCCATGCTACTTTCAATATACCCAAACAAACAGACCGGGCTCGTTTCACTTTCCTATTGTCAGATTTCAAGGTGCAGCAACAACCAACACGTGGGGAATTAACCCCACGCGATGCCGTGCTCCTGCCCGTCCCGTCCCCAATGGCGGGGCGTGTGACATCCCCTCCTCCTTCCCTTCATCCCCCCCCCGATTCAGCAGAGGGTGCCTGGCAGTCATTAGCATAGAGCCAGGCGAAGCAGAGCACTTAGTCTGCGGTAGCAGTTGCTGGATGGATTGTTGAAGTTCCTGAATATTCAGGGCAGCAGGACAAAACAGCCTGGAATAACTTCCAAGCGCTGACATAACTGTAGCTGCTCGGGTAACTCTGCTGTTGTTTCATGTGGAATCAACATGAATATTAATAGCTGCTCCTAGACAATTGTTGGGTTGGGTTTTTTTTTTTTTGTGTGTGTGTGTGTGTGTGTGTGTGTGTGTGTGTGCCCGTGTGGTGTGTAACTTGCAACAACTCTGTAAGAGTTCCAAGATTTGGTCCTTAAAATAAACTCCTGGAAGTTTTACTTTGCCACAGTCATAACCGTGTGAATTTTAATTTGAACATGTAGAATTAAGAAATACAGAAACTTTATTTTTTTTTATCGGGGGTGGTTGGGGGCTTATGGAGACACCAATTCCTGGACTTGGCAGGGTTATAAAAGGGTTTGGCAGCCTGGTTGTAACATGGCTTGATTATGTCAACAGCACAGAATCGGCTGTGTTTCAGCTGTTCCTGAGGTCTGCTGTGTTATCATCCAGTGTAGTAGAAATTACAGTAGTGGGTTCAGAAGTGAGTAGGATTTGACCCTTAAAAAGCGTAATTGTAGTAGACTTACTTATACATCCATTAAGCAAATAAATTAATGGAAAGGATATACAATAGGTATGCAAAATGTATTATTACAGTATAGACGAATAAAGCAAAGTGGGTCAGTGAGTTTTGGTCAAAATGGGAAGATAAATTTGTATTTGCTTTCTGGATTTCCCCTCTAATACATTTAATTCTTCATTCTTTACAAATTATTTTTAATTATTTCTGATGTTACAGTAATTATGCAGACTATTTTGGTCTACTCAGTTTAGTGATTTAAGCGACCTTTCCTGACTCCCAGTTACAGCATACTTTAGCTGGGTGATGTCTTCTTGTATCCTGGGTGGACACTTTACTGTTGAGATGGAAACTGGAAGAGCAAACTCCATCCTAGCGGCTAAATTGTTGTACTCATCAGATTCAAAATTTTTGAACCAGCATCTTATCACTGTTATATTTGTCTCATAATCAGCTGATGCACTTGAGTACGCTAATCCCTTTTTGGAAAGCTTCATCAAGGTTAATATGTTATTTAATCAAAAAAGGCATCCAAATAAAGCCATTACTTTGTTGTTCTCTAAATGGATTGAATCGTTAGTTGCCAGTTGCTGTGGAAATAATTTGTAATAACTTATTTCGAGACGGAAAAGTTTTAGATGTGTTTCACCAAAATGATACATTTTAACTGTGATATTGCTATTTAAAAAATCAATAAAACAAAAATCAATAAAACACCAAGGGATTTTCTATTGAATGCTTAATGTGGAGGTCTGTAAAGTGAATTGGTTTCTGTGTTTATTTGTGATACTACTAATAATAACATGATACTAAAGGACCTTTTTCTAAATTAGGCTTGTGTATCAGTTCACTGGAAAAATAAGCTTCCGTTATGGAAGATGACTTTTCTTTTCTGGTCATACTGACCTTTGCTTTTATTTTCCTCATAAAAAGCATTGGCTGCCAAACAGAAATCCAGGAAATAGCAAACTGTGCATTTAGCTTACATTCCGATTAAACGGTTTGACATTAATGGGATGCTAGAAAGCCATATGCCAAACAAATAGGGGAAGGATAAAGGCAAAACATGGAAAATATTTAGAGCTACTAGATGCCAATCGAGTCAGGTTTCCTGAATGTGTGGGTGAAAGAGAGTAGCGAACTGTGCACTGGATGTCACCTGCCTAGGATTAATGACCTGGAAGCTATTGATCTCAGATTGTTTCTGGTCTCTTGTGTTTTGAGCACTTGTTGTGGAATTTTGCCATGCTGGGTCCCTTTCTAGAGTTTTCCCATAGATTCAGGCTGGCTTTGGATCGTGCCCACCCGAGTAAAGGCTAAAAGCGTGTGCTTTCTTCTGACCTCCCTTCTGTGACCAGGACATGTTAATCTTTTCTGACATTTGAAGATGATTTTGAATGAGTTCATTGGCATTCATACTTAAAGTGGGGAATTATTTGCAGCCTTTGGAAGCTGTTTACAATTTTTGGAAAACAACCTAATTGATTTTTAAATGTAAAGGGGAAAGATGCTGAGCATGAAACAATTCTCTTCAAAGCCCATCTTACACGGCAGTTATTCAGTCCCTCTTTTCTAGCTTCTGCTTCTCTCAAATTATGTGGACATAGCATGTCCTTGTTTACTGAATACTGCACACTTGCATAGCTTTTTTTTTTTCCCCCCAGTTTGTATTAATTAAAGGAGTCTCTCACCCAAATAGGTTAGTACAGATCATAGATACTTTAAATGAACAGGTCAGCAAGTGCTGCTGGAAGGAATGTCAAATATATAGTACCTGTGGTTTATATTGATGACCTTCCTTCTTGCCACAGATTATTAAAATATAATCACCAGAAATGTGGAAGGCTTTACAAGCAAAGATGACTTCTGGAAGGCCAGAAGATAAATTGTAGTAACTGTGAAGAAGGAGTAAAAGGTTTGGAAGTGGTTTCCTTAGACTTAAACAAAATAAAAGACTCCAGTTGCTCATAATAACAGTACTTTAATGTCTATCTTACATTATGTATTTAATGGTAAATATTGTAGTTTAAAAGCTGAGATCCTTGGCCTGTACTTACTGCAACAGGGCAGAACTGTTTATCCCTTTAATCTGATACTTCAGTCGCTGGCAGTAGCAGGGTATGTGATACTTTGGAAGGGAATACTTCACTGGGAACGCTGGCTGCCTGTCGAGAAGCGCTGCCGACGCTGTTCCCGTGCAGGGAGGTGAGGGCCTGCTAGTGATGGGCAGGGGGACATTTTTTTTCCCTGATTCCTTTACATAATTTTCTTAAAGAATTCAATTTGATTACCTCCTCCTTTATCTTATAGCTATGAATATTGGTAAAGTTTTGTGTAGGTTTTTTTTTTTTTTTTTTTTTTTTTTTTTTTAATTAAGAAATCTTTTCTTTGCCGATGTAGTTTATGTAACAAAGCATAGTTTTATTGTCAGGTCAGTATCAACTTTACTTACAAGAAAGGGATATATGGATAGCTTTGTTATTTCCTCAGACCCCTGCCATCTCTGCTCAAAGGCTCAGTTCAGTGTCAGGCTTCCAGGCTCTTTCCAGAGCCACAGGCCCCTGCCTGGGGTTGCTGAGCCCCCTGGGCACATGGAGCCAGTGCTCCACAGTGTATCCCTGTGGGCTGTGTTGGGAGGCTGCTGCGCCCACCCAGGGCCTCCTCAGCATTGTAAACCAAAATGCACTCAAAGCACTCTTATTTACAAATTGTCCTACTTGATATTCTGTAATCCAGAGTGGTTTCTGAATATTTGTTGGAAACACTAATCTCGTTGGACCGCCATGTATTATTTCTTCTGTTTTCCCCTGTT